CGAACGGCGAACGCGAACTTCCGCAAATGTTCGCGAACCGGCGAACCGCCCGAAACTCCATTGACTTCAATGGGGAGGCGAATTTTAAAACACACAGGGACTCTTTCTGGCCACAATAGGGATGGAAAAGTTGTTTCAAGGGGACTAACACCTGGACTGTGGCATGCCGGAGGGGATCCATGGCAAAACTCCCATGGAAAATTACACAGTTGATACAGAGTCTGGTTTTAATCCATAAAGGGCAGAAATCACCTAACATTCCTAAATCACAATGAATATGGATTGACACCTGACATATGACATATTGACACCTTGACATATGGATTGACACCTGTCCTCAGAGCCCCTGATGCACACGGACACAGAGCAGAATAGAGACTGGTCCCCCTACATAGGGTCACTTGGCAGATATGGATTGACACCTGTCCTAAGGATCCCTGATACACACTGACACAGAGCAGAATAGGGACTGTTCCCCCTACATCGGGTCACTTGGCAGATATGGATTGACACCTGTCCTAGGTTCCCTGATACACACTGACACAGAGCAGAATAGGGACTGGTCCCCTACATAGGGTCACTTGGCAGATATGGATTGACACCTGTCTAGGGATCCCTGATACACACTGACACAGAAACGAATAGGGACTGTTACTGCCATGAGGGTCACTTGGCGAATATGGATTATTTTCTGTCCTCAGAGACCATGATACCTCACTGACACAAGAGCAGAATAGGGACTGTTACTACATGGTCACTTGGCAGATATGGATTGACACCTTGTTACAAACTGCTATTTGTAATAGGCCCTTTAAATGGCAAATTGCCCTGCTTCCCTGGGTTGTGGAGAAGCCTATTTGCCAACCTCCTCCCGCATGACTATGGCCCCTGGGAGATTGTGAAAATGTATGCACTTTTATTTGGTGTGTATGGCCTTTAAGACTGTCAGTGGGCATATTGGGGCTTATGGACTCTTTATGTGACTGGTGCTGGTCCTTTAAACACCTTTTTTGGGACATCAGGAAGATTGGGACACTGCCCCTTTAAGGCCATGTCCCCAGACTTGTTGGGGACACGGCCCCTTTAAGACGGTGTCCCCTGTGTCCCCAGACCTGGTGCAAACCCTTTGTGCCTGCCTTGCTATTCCCACTTGGTTCAGTAAATGAGCCTTACTGAACCAAGTACCACACAGGCAGATCACCCAGAAGTGGAAGTGTGCAGGCAATTTACCTCCCAGAAGCTGCGGTTAACCGCAGCTTAATTGACAATGCTTGGAGGTCTTTGTTCGTTTGCCGAACACGTGGCGGCGGCCATCTTTGATCATTCAACGAGGTCAGCGGTATGTGTAGCCAAATTCATGGAACTAAAATCGGCTACACATTTCCGCGAACACCGCTGAGCTCTACCTTCTCCCCTACTGGTTTTACAGCTGTAGAGAATAAGTCCCATTCGGCGATGGGACTTAGTCTTTTTTCAGCCGTTTTTTTCAGCCTTATTTCAGCTGCAGAGACTAAGTCCCATTCGGCGATGGGACTTAGTCGTTTTTTCAGCCTGAAATAGACCGACCTCACAGCTCAAATTTATGGAACTGTTTTGGGCAGGAAAATGTGCTTGCGGTCGGTCATAAAGGGACCTCCAGCTAACTTTTTAACCCCTGGATGTATTTGGCAGATTTTTGGTTATGTTTGTTTTTAAGTGTGCTGATTCCAAATATGTAATTATGAAGATGGGATGTGTAGTTTTAAAGTTACAGGGTATGGCTAAAAACTGTATTTTTACTGCCTGTGTTTAATTATGTTAATCTCTTCCCAAACGTCATTTCGTTCAAAGTGGAGAGAATGTTAAAAAAATATATTTTTGTTAGGAGTGTGAGAAATGCTTTGCAGCCGCTTCTAATCTTAAACATCATTTGAGGAGCCATACAGGAGAGAAACCTTATTTGTGGTGTGTTTAGTATTGTTCTGATCAGTTTAATACCTTCTGCGTCTCCTATCAGTGGACGTGTATATGGCAGCCATTTTAGGAACCGTACACCTGGGAACCGAGCAAGGTCACCTCGTTCAACAGGCTTGCAGCGTATCCTCCAGGAAGAAGAGCCTGAACCCTTACCGGCTGCACGTGTCTTACCTGTACATGGAAAGCTGCTCTGGTTCCTTGATGAGCCAGTTGCCCGTGAGTTAACATGTCCCGTGGAGAAGCACTCTGTCCTGTAAAGCCTCACCAAAAAAAAGGAGTGGTGTGTTTGGTATTGTTCTGATCAGTTTAATACCTTCCGCGTCTCCTATCAGTGGACGTGTACACGGCATTGATTTTTATCTAAGCCGTAGAACTTTTGCACAAATAAGTATATTCACTGCCATTGAAAGGGAGTGCATGGCGGTAGTGTGTGGGCCTCAAAAGCTGCAACCTACTTGTATGGACAAATCAGTTTACCTTACTCTACAGATCACATTAAATTTGGGGCACCGCGCCGTCAAGCCAATGACACCAGATAGAGTGGTAAAAGTTTAGTACTATTTTATCAGTTTACTACTCACAAGCTCCCATCAAAGTGGACGGTATATGGCAAGTTTCGGCTTTAGGGGAACCGTAGACACCTGGGGACCGCCGAAAGCAAGGGGTCACTGCTTCAACAGGCTTGCAGCGTATCCTCCAGGAAGAAGAGCCTGAACCCTTACCGGCTGCACGGGTCTTACCTGTACATGGAAAGCTGCTGTGGTTCCTTGATGAGCCAGCTGCCCGTGAGTTAACATGTCCCGTGGAGAAGCACTCTGTCCTGTAAAGCCTCACCAAAAAAAAAGGAGAGGTGTGTTTAGTATTGTTCTGATCAGTTTAATACCTTCCGCGTCTCCTATCAGTGGACGTGTACACGGCATTGATTTTTGTAACAGGAGATGGAAGAAGAGGCTTGGTCGGTCCTCTTACTGCAAATTTGGGGCACTGCGCGGTCAAGCTAATGTGACACCAGATAGGAGTGGTGTGTTTAGTACTATTTTTATCAGTTTAATACCTTCCGCGTCGCCTATCAGTGGACGTGTACATGGCAGTGATTTCTGTAACAGGGAGATGGAAGAAGATGCTTGGTCGGTCCTCTTACTGCAAATTTTGGGCACTGCGCCGTCAAGCTAATGTGACAATTGTAGATAGGGAGTGGTGTAAGCGAAGTACCATTTTTATCAGTTTACTACCTTCAGCTGCCTCCTATCAGTGGACGCAATAATGGCATTGGATTTTGTAACAGGAGATGGAAGAAGAGGTTTGGTCGGTCCTCTTACTGCAAATTTGGGGCACCGCGCGTCAAACTAATGCGACACCAGATAGGAGTGGTGTGTTTAGTATTGTTCTGATCAGTTTAATACCTTCCGCGTCTCCTATCAGTGGTCGTGTACACGGCATTGATTTTTGTAACAGGGAGATGGAAGAAGAGGCTCGGTCGGCCCTCTTACTGCAAATTTGGGGCACTGCGCGGTCAAGCTAATGTGACACCAGATAGGAGTGGTGTGTTTAGTACTATTTTATCAGTTTAATACCTTCCGCGTCTCCTATCAGTGGTCGTGTACACGGCAGTAATTTCTGTAACAGGCAGATGGAAGAAGATGCTTGGTTGGTCCTCCCAACTGGAGACTGTGTTGCTGTACGGGTGGCAGGTGGAGCCATTTATAAAGTACACACTGCTTTATAAAGCCATTTATAAAGTACACACTGGCGGCTTGAACCCTAGTTGGTGGCGGATAAGTCACGCAAGTCAACCGGCATTCAGAGCTAAAAATACAGCAGCGTGTGGACCATTTTTAGCCCAAGGCAGCTCATCTCATCAGGCCTTTTTTACATAGGGTCACTTGGCAGATATGGATTGACACCTGTCCTCAGAGCCCCTGATACACACTGACACAGATCGGAATAGGGAATGTTACCCCAACATCGGGTCACTTGGCAGATATGGATTGACACCTGTCCTAAGGATCCCTGATACACACTGACACAGAGCAGAATAGGGAATGTTACCCCAACATCGTGTCACTTGGCAGATATGGATTGACACCTGTCCTAAGGTTCCCTGATACACACTGACACAGAGCAGAATAGGGA